CTGGTTGGATGAATCGCACTTATCTTACCTTAGCTGGTTGGATGAATCGCACTTATCTTACCTTAACTGGTTGGATGAATCGCACTTATCTTACCTTAGCTGGTTGGATGAATCGCACTTATCTTACCTTAGCTGGTTGGATGAATCGCACTTATCTTACCTTAACTGGTTGGATGAATCGCACTTATCTTACCTTAACTGGTTGGATGAATCACGCAATCTCTTTCCTTGAGTACGGTTCGATGTACGCCTTAACTGATTCTACGAACTTCGCGTGTCTTTCGTATCGGCAGAAATGATCGAAGCGAAGATTACATTTACATGTAAATAACACGTACGCTGTCTATTTTCAATTTCGTCGATACGAATTATCACAATTGTTTCTTAACTGGGAGTGTTTTTAAGGGAATGGGGCTCATATGCAGTGTTTTGTAAACGTTTCGACATCAGCTACACGAATCTGTAACAAAAACTGACGAGTTCCATTTGAAATTTTTTACGTTATTTGTATGCAGCTCGTAAGGGTCATTTCAAGGTCATGCCGTCTATGCCACATAATACATCTTTTCATACCATAAAAATTATGTCTAAGACATTTTGTCGAAAAATGAATAGTTTCGGAAATAATTGTTTGCTTCCATACTTTTTCCCCACCCTGTATATATAATAAGAAGCATATTGTAATACGAGGCATTTCATATACAGGTATATGTTAAATATATACCTATATATACATAGGTATACATTAAATATATACCTATATATAGGTAATATTTAATATTTATCGATAATCACTACATATTTAATTATAATTATAAGTAAAATTTGTAATTTTGTATTTATAAGATTATACGTAGCTTAATATTATACATTAATTTATAGTATATAAATGTTATGCTAAATTCTGTTACAAATTAATAAATTACATTAATACTATGTTCTCTCAGGAATTGACATTAATAATACAATCGTCAACTAGATCTTTCAGATTGTGTTATTCGAATATAATACTGAAGAACTCATGCTATGTTTCGTAATTACAAATTTATGTTTTATATACATGTTTATGTCCAACTTGGTCGGACAGCAAATTATAGATCATAATAATTATATATTTTCCACTGCGTAAGTAATATAATTGTTTCATATTATAGTT